AATAGACAAGCATTTAACTCTTCTAAGATGTGGGTTGTCACAGATGCAGCCGATGTGTCTTCTATAACTTGACTATCTAGAAATGCATCTACTGGCCTACCCCTGACATCAAGATAACGTACACAATGACTTAATACTTGATGCCCATTTGCATCGGTGCATTCATCAGCCATGTATGCAAATGTTTTGAATGTGGTGAGAGAGTTATTCACTTTTTCAACTGTTGAGTCTTTCACTGTTGCACCGCATGCTTCTAGCCAGTCAGTTGAGTTTCTTGCAGAAAGATAGTGAGCATTTGCTGGTCTTGTTTGGAACCAGTGTTCAACTTCAGGATGAACAAGTGACAATGCACTTAACATTGGCCTCCAGTTTGTAGTGTGTGGTATCTCTTGCTTAAATAGAAAGTAGGATGCCACAGCCATGTTTTGTAGGAATGCATAGCTCCCAAATTGCCAGCCCATGGTTACGGCACACTGTTTCCATGGCTACAAGGCAGGAGTGGCCTTCATCTCAGTGTCTGTGTTTTGGGAAACTTCTTGGCTGGCCTGTTTGTCTCCCTTGCAGCTGGCTTTCACGTGCACAAGATATGGGTTTGCTATCTCATGTTGTTGTACACTGTATGCTTTCCCTATGCGCAAGGATGTAACCGGTTAGAAGCGTTGTAAGCAGGGAAGTGTAAAGAATAAAAGCCCCAGAAAAAGTTCCTGGGAGTAGAGAGGCTTTTCGGCTACCACAGACCTGGTGTTCTGTTTCCTTTCATCTGTCGTTGCCACAATGTTTGTTCGCATGAAGTGTGTTGTGTCTCCAGCATTCTTAACAGCCTCATTAACTACTTCTAAAATTGGCTTTGAAAGTGGGCTTATAAGGCTTTCTGCATGTTGATACACTCCAGAGGCCTGGTGTTTTGCAGCCTTTTCACGTAGTTTGTCAGCATTGGCTTTGCTGATCGGTTTGACAAACCAAGCTCCTCCACTTTTACCAATTATAGCTTTGGGAAGCTTTCCTTCTTCGTAAGCTTTTTTGCAAGAGGTGCACCAGTAGCCATCTTTTGTAACTTCAATAAATGGGAACACTTTGACCGACAAACATCGGGAACTGCCTTTAGTTTTGAAGACACTGTTTCTTCAGTAGGTAGCTGTATTTGTGCTTCAGGCTGGTCGGATGTAGATATACCACTTGAACCTTCAGATGACATGTTGATATATTCTTGGTTCTTGATGCGTTCTTCACGTTGGTTAGTTTTTGAGGCCTTTGAGTGGAAAAATTGTTGTATTGTTTTTTGTCTTTTCATTTTCACTTTGACCTGCAACATATAAAAGAGATATGAATAAAGTAAATGTTTTGTTAGGATAATGCAAATTTAACATAAGGATAATGCAAGTTACATCAAAACACATAACAGGTCTAGATTTCTAAAAAAATATACATTTAAAAAAAAATGTATTTAATTTAAATTGACTTTTGAAAAGTAAGCCATCATGGGATAAGAGGGAAGTCCTCTCATGGATCAGTAACTGGTTAAAAGATGGGAAACAAAGGGTAGGAATAAATTATCAGTTTTCAGAATGGAGAGGGATAAGTAGTGGTATCCCTGTGAGGTTGGTACTGGGACCATTACTGTTCAACATATTCATAAATGATCTGGAAAAATGGGTAAACAGTGAGGTGGCACAATTTGCAGATGATACAAAACTATTCAAGATAGTTAAGTCCCAGGCAGACTGCGAAGAGTTACAAAGGGATCTCACAAAACTGCGTGACTGGGCAACAAAATGGCAGATGAAATTCAATGTTGATAAATGCAAAGTAATGCACATTGGGAAACAATCTCAACTATACATACAAAATGATGGGGTCTGAATTAGCTGTTAACACTCAAGAAAGAGACCTTGGAGTCATTGTGGATAGTTCTCTGAAAACATCCACTCAATGTGCAGCGGCAGTCAAAAAAGCAAACAGATTGTTGGGAATCATTAAGAAAGGGATAGATAATAAGACAGAAAATATCAGATTGCCTGTATATAAATCCATGGTACGTGCACCCCTTGAATACTGCGTGCAGATCTGGTCACCCCATCCCAAAAATATATATATTGGAATTGGAAAAGGTTCAGAGATGGGCAACTAAAATGATTAGGGGTATGAAACAGGAGGAGAGATTAAAATGACTGGGAATTTTCAGCTTAGAAAAGAAATAACTAAGGGGGGATATGATAGAGGTCTATAAAATCTTGACTGGTGTGAAGAAAGTGAATAAGGAAATGTTATTTAATCCTTCACATAACACAAGAACTAGCCGTCACCCAATGAAATTAATAGGCAGCAGGTTTAAAAAAAAAAAACAAAAGGAAGTACTTCTTCACACAACATAAAGTGAACCCATGGAACTCTTTGCCAGGGGATGCTGTGAAGACCAAAACTATAACAGGATTAAAAAAAAGAACTACATAAATTCCTAGAGAATAGGTCCAGGATGGGGAGGGATGCAACACCATGCTCTGAGTGTCCCTAGCCAGTTTGCCAGAAGCTGGGAATGGGCAACAGGGGATGGATCACTTGATGATTACCTGTTCTGTTCATTCTCTCTGAAGCTCCTGGCCTTGGCCACTGTCGGAAGACAGGATACTGGGCTATACGGACCATTGGTCTGACCCAGTATGACCAGTCTTATGTAAAAATTAATTATAATAATAAAAATGTTTAGTACAGAAACTCCCCAACATAATGACCTCTCAAGATAACAACGATGTGAGATAACCTTGGCAAATAATGCATTTTAAAAATCTTGGCCTACTAGGAAACATATTTATATAAGTTTCCATTCCCAGTCACAAATCTAGCATTCTGGAGTAAAGTCACTAAAATATAGTCCAACAAACAAATGTTTATTTAACGTGTTGCTCACTTTTCCCTCCACCGCACCCCACTCACCGGTGTTGTCCTTGGTCAGTGGAGACTCAGAGTTCAGAGGTGCTTTCACATGAGTACACCTCCCAGGTGGGGGGCAGGAAGGTACTTTGCTCGTTCCTCCAGCTGCTCACTGTTCACTCTGGCCATGGCTGTTTGTTGTGCCACCGTTCACTCCACCACTCTGTTGCCAATGGCCCTGCACAGTCACCTTCTGCTGCCACCTGCCACTGTGACCTCTGCGAGTTGGTCTCTTGAGGTTCCACTCAGCTCTCAGTGATTTCAGCTGAGCTCTCAGGAGTGGAACCTCCCTGCTAGTGCAGTCTGGGCTGTCTTTTCCACAGAAACACTGTCCCCACAGCAGGACTAAGCACTTAGACCTGATTATCAGTGATTTCAGCTGCAGTGGTCACTTAACAGAACAAAAGACTATCTATGGAGCCTAATCAGCTCTGTCTTTAAACAGTGGAGAGGGACAGGTCCCCACCCTCTCTCTTGATGCCCTCAATCACCACAGGCTAAGTACAGTTCTACTGCCCTTTACTCATTCAATAAGAACAACAACATTTCATCCCTCCCCCCGCCCCCCCTGCATTCAAGTGATTTGTAACCTAACCCCAGCCAAAATCTATCACTTGGGCAACACAGTTCTGTTTGCTGGATACCTGGGTAGATTAGGTGTGAATGTAAATACAGTCTGGTCCTGAAGCCTTTCCCTCCAGCCCCAGCTCATCACTAGCTGTCAGGGAGAGCTCATTTAGACTTCGCTTACAAATCATCATTTGAAATTATTAGGTTGGCCAACATCACCGAAATGAATGCACTGTGACATTGTCATCAAAAACAACAGCTGTATAAGGAAGCTAGTCTATGTTCATACTTTTCAACTCTATTATACTTTTTCAGATACATGTATTTTATCATACACTGTATATGCTTTTAAAGTGTGTATTAATGTTTCAATTTCAATTCAAATTTCCAAACAGTCACTAAATTGGCATGTAACTAGTTCACAAAACTGGGGGGGGGGTGTTTGGGAAATTCGGGGGGGGGTGTAGGGAAATCACTGCCCTCCTGTACCCCAAACCCCTCATCCCCGGCCCCACCCCAGAGCCTGCACCACCGGCTGGAGCTCTCACCCCACCCCAACCCCAACCCCAACCCCAACCCCCTGCCCCAGCCCGGTGAAAGTGAGTGAGGGTGGGGAAGAGCGAGCGGGGGCCAGGGCCTCAGATAAAGGGCGGAGCAGGGAGGCTGGGCAGGGGTGTTCGGTTTTGTGTGATTAGGAAGTTGGCAACCTTACTGTCCGCGCCAGCCAGCCAGCCTATTGCAGGCCTGGGGAAAGACCCTTCCAGAGACTCCAGGTCAGGCTTTGCCCCAGAAGCAGGAGCCAGGGGCTTGTTCTGGGGTGGGGGAGGCTGTCGCTGTGGCCGGAAGATGCTGCTTCCTGGCCAGCTAGTGGCCAAATGCCCATTGGCCTCAGAGGGACCAGGAGTTCGCCCTTTGCGCCTGGTGATGTGGGATGCAAGTCCCAGCAGCCCGCACCCCGATGCCCTGGCCCCACTGCCAGCGTGGGCCCGAGGCCAACTCCTCCCCCACAGGGGCGGGGTGCTCGGAAGACGCCCAGTGTTAATTTCTGACTATACTTTGGCACCGTTGCCATGGCTACCTCGGGGCACTGAGCGGCCACATCAAAGTCCAATCTCCAGCGGGCTGGCTGGCTACCCCTCCCCTCCCGGGGGGCACAGCGGTGGGGGTGCCTGGGGCAGGCGCTTCCTGAAGCAGGGACGGATCTGAGCTCCCCAATGCCCTTGGCCCACAGTTGAAGACAGCCCCCAAACCAAGTGGTCCGTGGGCTGGGAGAACGGATGTGGGGGGCCAGACCAATGGGGCTGCATCTGCCATCCCTCGCCTGCAGACTGGGTGCCCCAGATGGGGTTCTGGGGGGGCATCACCATGGGCCTGGGTGCAAAGGCTGCTCTGGGTCTGGGGGAGGTAGCCTATGGCTTTGTTTTAATTGGACTTCCTCTGCCCTGTGCCGATTGGCTGTTTGCTCAGCTTCACCCCACTCCTGCTCTTCTGTTCCTCTCCTCCCCTGCCCCCCTCACAGCTGATCCCCTCCGCAGCCCTACCCCACCCCTGGATCATGCTGCTGCTGGGTTCGACCCTTGCCCCCGCTGGTCTGTCTGCTCTGTTCTCATGGGGCAGCACCGCTATCAGCGCCGAGCAGGTGAGGGGCCCTAACCGGGCATTGCTAAGGGAAGCTGGGGCTCAATCTCCAGCCATGGTGAGTCACCCCAGGGCACCCAGATAACAGCATTAATGATTAGCACAATCGATGTGACACATGAACCCAGGGTGGTGAAAGGCCCCCGCTCCCTGGAGAGCTGCCAACAGGCAGGCGAGCTTAGCTGCCCCCCGGGCCCCCTCAGCAGCGCTCTTTGCGGCTCCCCCGGTGGGAGGAGGGGCACAGCACCTTGAGGTGGCTGTGACGGCTGCTCCCTCACCTGGGTATGGAACCAGGGACCTTGGGAGCTAAGAGCATAAGCTCCTGCAACTTGAGCTACAGAGCCAGGGCCTGGCCCTGCCACCTGTCCCCTGGGGCTCAGGAGCAGAGAGGGCCGCCTGGATCCTCCTGACCCTGACGGGGGTCTCCAGTATCCTGGGCAGTGCCCCCCCCCCCACTGGCTAGGACAAACGCTGCCCAGTGGGTTGGCCTGGAGAGTGTTTCCGGGTCGGAACTGACCGTGTCACATGCACGACACATTTCGGGTTGGCTGAGCTGGCGTTAGGCAGCAAATAAACCATTTGCCCGAAAAATTTCAGCCAGCTGTGTGTGTGGGGCCTGGCCTGGAATCTGGGATTCTCTCCGCTTCCTCGTCTGTCTCGCGCCGCCGCCAAAGGGTTAAAGGAATCTGGTTGCCATGGTACCTTTAAAACACAAGTTGGCATTTGCCCTCTTGAGCACAATAAACCCATTGGCTGGCGTCCCTGAGCGATCAGACGGGCTGTTAGCCGCGCTGGGTGTGGGCGCTGTCTGTCGGGAGAGGCGCTAGGTTTTGAGTTCAGATTCATCCTCGCGCAGCCCCCGTGCCCCCCCTGCATTGGGACAGCACCTGGCGCCCGGGACAACAGGCAGCCACCGAGCGAGCCGGGCACCATGTCTCCCCTCCGCGCTGTTCTGTTCTCCTTGCTCTTCATCGCCTCCTCACTGGCCCAGGACGGTAGGGACGCCTCCCTCCCTGCCCAAGACCAAGGTGGGGGGTGGGAGAGCATGGGATGGGCAGCCTGGCAGGAGGGGAACAGTGCCCGTCCCTGCCTCTCTGGGCCCCGGGCACGGTCTCCCTGGCCTCACCTCTGCGCTGTGGGTGTGTCGGGGGAACCCTGCGGGGCTGGGACTGCCGGAGCAAGCAGGGCCGTGGGGTGCTGGAGATGGCCCTGGCAGGGGTCAGTCCCTCCAGATCACGACCAAGGCCCATGAGTAGAGCTGGAGGCGGAAGCCCCTGAGGCAATCACCGAAGCAATCCAGGGAACCCCCTTGGGCACCAGCTTCCCCCTCTCCAGGCCCGCCAGAACGAGCCTTTCCCTTTGGCTTGACAGGCGCAGTGCAGGGCACCACAGAGGGCTCCAGGACGCTGCAGCCCTGGCTGGTGGGGCTGACGGCCGTCGTGGTCTTCCTCTTCATCGTCGTCGTGCTGATGATCATCAACAGAGTCTGGTGCTACAAGAAGCGCAGGTGGGCTCCATCTGATGGGACATATGCCACAAGACCCTCCCCTCGGCCCGATCCTGTGTGGCGCAGAGTGCCCGCCCCTCTCCTGGGCCCTCTGGCCCCCTCACCTGCTCTCCGCTGTCACTGACCGGGATGGTCTGAGACCACAAAGCGGGAGGCAGTGCTGGTTAGACTACTGTAGGTTGCGGGGGCAGGGGCTGGGAGTCAGGACTCCTGGGTTCTCCAGCCAGCTCTGGGACGGGAGTGGGATCTAGTGGTTGGAGCATGGTGGGCGGGCGGTCAGGGCTCCTTGGTTCCATTCCCAGCTGTGCTAGTGACGTGCCTGGGGCACTTGCTGTGTACTGTGGGCAAGTGCCTGTCCCGCTCTGTGCCTCCGTTTCCCCATCTATATAAAGGGCATAACAGAGCTTCTTGCCCCGCAGGAGGCTGGGTGAATGGGTGCTGTAGGCAATGTCCACAAAGTACCGGGACGCTCTATGCGATCACTAATGATATTTGTAAAACATTTTTGAGATCCTTGAAGAAAATGTGTTGTCAGAGGGCACAGTGCATCAGCTCCCTGTAATCTCGGGAGTGGACCCCGTTGCCTGTTGAAGGTCACCCTCCCCTCTGGTATCTCCAGGGCTGGAATCAGCAGTTTGGTGCTTATCTGTGGCTCGTTCCACGTATCGGGACACACCTGGGCTCTGCATTCTGCTCGTACTGCTGCCTCAGGGAGCACGGGGTACAGAGTGCGTACAAAGTACCAAGTCCCTGCTGCGCCAGGCTATTGCAGGTGAAATGGGCAGTGCCACCTGTAGCTAAGGTAGCCTAATGTTTTCCATTATCAGCCCCTGTTTTCAGCTGCTCATAACTTTGACAAATTTTACCAGTTTGGGCTGAAATTTTCCAGCTGGGTCTCAGTGTCGGGCTCGATACAGTCCAGCCTTTCTGAGAACAAGGTTGGGGAAATTAGGTAGTTTTGCCAGGGTCCTTCCTGCCCGTTCCTTTGAAGAACTCTAGCGCCTCCATGCTCTGGCGCAGGAACGTAAACATCTGGCAGGGGTATGATCCTCGGTTCACGGAGGCGCCTTTTGCTGTGCCCTTGAAAACTCATCCGGGTTTGTCCAAGTTTTTGCCATTTGCACATGCTCAGGAGAGCTTGCAGGAAGCTTGCTGCTAAAGTCTCTGACCTTTCCAGCTGCTCTGAACGTGCTCCAGGCTCACAGAGCCTGAGCTCTGGACAAGCGGCAGCAAGAAGGCGTGTCGGGAGGGAGCCAGCAGGACACTGGATTCTAGTCCTGTCTCTCCCCCAGACTCAGGTCAGAATTCTGTGCACATCCCAGCTCCGACTAGTCAGCAAGGCTCCCCAGCCCATCTGCCAGAGGCAGGCAAGTACCAGGCCTTTTGCTGCGAGGGAACGTCAGGCAGAGTGGGCGCCAGTGACATCCACGCAGCTACTGGCCTTTCCGAGCAACCAGGCTGAATCTAAGTGCTTGGCTGTGGCGTCTGCACACACTAGACCAGTGGGTCTCAACCTTTGTGGGCTCAGGACCCTTCTGTAAATGGTTATGACTCGTTGTGACCCAGTAAATAGCCTGGGGGTGGAGGCCCTGGGTGGTTTCGGTTGGATCTTGCCCCCCCCGGGGCAGGGGGGGGGTTGGGTCCTGCCCACCACTCACCCCATGGTGGAGACTCCTGCAGCTCCTGTGCTGTGGGGCTGCCTGGGCTTGGCTCTCGGCTCTGGCAGCGCTGCTCAGGTTTGGCCCCGCCCCTCTGACTGGACTAAGCTGGTGTGAGTGGAGCTGTGCCTTGGCTCACGTGTGCCACTCACTCGGTTTTGGCCTGCCCGGGCTCCCGTCGTCATGACGGCTGGGCCAAACCTGAGTGACTCTGGGACCCCGGAGTTGCAGTGCCTGGAGCAGGGAGGTGAACCCAGCCAGCCCCGTGGGACCGGAACTGCAGGAGCTGCCAGGCCACCCTCTGAAACATTCTGGAGATCCAATTTGGGTCCCGACCCATGGGCTGACAAGCCCTGGACGAGATGATATTCCTTTGGAGAGCCAGGAGCAGCACCCACCATTCCAACTTCACTTCATTCCTCTTCTGGCTCGCAAATACTAGCAGGTGCCCTCAAGTGACTGGTCCAGATGGAGGATAACAACCTACTACCTCAGCTAGCTTCCCCACTCCTTAAGTTTAAGTAGCAGAGAATCTGTGCTGTGGATCTAAAGGTCCTGGGTGCCAGCCCTGTTCGTGGCTCTCTGGGGGATGATTGTTATGATCACGCATTTCTGCTTTTGTTTAAATTCATCCCCCTGGAGCATTCACACCGGGGGTACAGCTGGTCATAAATGAGAATTTTAGGGCACGGAAAATGTCAAAGTGCCGGATTTGTTTTCATTCCATGTCAGAATGAGAACGAGACCTTTCCAAATTTGTCACCCAAAACCACCCACGAGAGTGGCCCCACCCAGAATAACCCACTGCTGCGGGCACTTCCCTGGGGCGTGAGAATCCCAGCTGTAGGTCCCTGCTCTGCCTAATTTGGAGCAGGGACTTGACCCCGGCTCTCCTCCATCACAAATAAGCACCCCCACCTCACTAAGCTACCCACCACACTGGGGTGAGGGCTGCTCCCTAGCCAGAAATTCCAGCCTGGACCCAAGACACTTTCCCGATGAAGTTTTGTCAAAACCGAAACGTTTCTGTGAAACATTTTGGTTTTGATGAGTTGGCCGTTTCTAACAACCCCCCCACCCCATTTTGTTGAAAAATACCCAGCCAGCTCTATACAATAAAGACTTTCCCAACCAGATAACGCGCTGTTTGCCCTACAGGACCCCTGCCTCATTCAGTGCCCAGGACGGACGGTGAAGGAGGCAGAGACCTGAAAGAGGAGAATGGCTCTTTTCATGTGTGTAAGGCACTGGACAGAGACCCAGGAGAGCTGGCTTCTGTGTGCTGTTAGCAGGGGGCTGAATTAAGGTGGCCTGGCCTGGCCAACTGCAGCGCTGGCCTTTCTTAATTCAAGCACAGCTGACGGGAAAACAGAAATACTTTCCTGGGGAAAAAATTTTATTTTTCAGCTGGCTGGATACCCACTTGGATGGCTCTTGTCAATTTCACTTGTGAAACTGACCCCAGCCCTGGCCAACCCCCCGCTGTGGGAGCTGGCGAGGCAGGGAGCTCTGAGGGGACGGCTGAGCACCTGGGCTCTTTGCCCTTGGGGGGCTTCTGACCGTTTCTCTGGCAGAAAGTGAAAGTGGACAAGAGCCGTCAGTGGGCAGCCAGGCACTGGCATGTCCATTTTCCCACTGGGAAATCAAAAAAGTTTGGCAAAACGGGCATTTTCTTGCGGACAATGGCGCAGACAAAAAGGGTTTCACCGGCTGCACTTCCGGGCAGCAGGATGGGCACATTGTGTATCCAGAGTGGGACAAGGGTCCCGCTGCACCAGGGGACAGCGGCTACTCTGCACCAAGGCTCCCATTGGCACAGACTGGGGCTCCTCAGGTGCACGTCCTGGGGCCCCCCTGCCGCACGATGCCCTCTGACTCCCTGTCCCCCCCGCTCTTTTCACAGGAATGAGGAGGAGCCGCTGGGAGAACCTGCCCAATCCAGGTAAAGCGTCTGCCTCTGTGGCTGCAGCCCCGGCGCAGCGACGTTTTGGGGGTTCTCTGGGGTGCAGTGCAGCACTGGCTGCAGTGACCCCGGGTGGCAGGGCAGGGAAGGAGGCAGCGTGGGCTGGTGGCCGAGTGGGCCGGTGTTCCTGGCTCTGGGGCGAGTCCCTGGCCCTCCCTGCACGCGGATTGGATCGGCCTCCTGCGCTTTGCGCTGGAGGGGGAGGTGGGGCAGGGCCCATCGCTGTTGGACTTTGTATCAGCGTAAGAGCTCCCGGTGCCTGCCTCACATGATGCTTCCCAGCCCCAGGCAGCTAACCCTGACCTCTCACTGCTCTGGGGAAGTGCAGCTGGCACTGGGGGGAGGGGGGCCTAGTGGTTGGGTGCCGGCCTGGCAAGCAGATTATAATTCCCGGCTCTGCTACACGCTCCCTCTGGGCCTCAGTCCCATCTGTACAAGGGGGTAATGGCCCTGCCCTGCCCCACAGGGGCTGTGAGGGTGAATGTGTCGGTGATTGTGGGGTGCCCAGGGCCTATGGGATGGGGCCAGATAAGGGCTCTGGCTGGATCCCTCCCAATTGGAGGCCCCCAGAAGTATCCTGTCCTGCCAGCAGCCTTGTTGTGCCTATTGGCCCTAAGAAATGGGTTCTGCCCGTGGCTTGGACACCCATCTCCCGGCGACAGGAGTGTCTGTAACATCTAGAGGCCCCACGTGAGCTCAGGGGCCCTGTATGCCAGGGACACCCCCGCAGAGCCAACACCCTAAGTGAGCTCAGGGCCCCGCTACC